TTACTAGAATACTTACATGTAGGACGACAAGGAACGATATAGCTGGTACTAGGATACTTACATGTAGGACAACAAGGAGCGATATAGCTGGTACTAGAATACTTACATGTAGGACGACAATGAGGGATACAGCTGGTATTTTAATACTTACATGTAGGACAACAAGGAACGATATAGCTGGTACTAGGATACTTACATGTAGGACAACAAGGAGTGATATAGCTGGTACTAGAATACTTCCATGTAGGACGATAAGGATCGATATAGCTGGTACTAGAATATTTACATGTAGGACGACAAGGAGTGATAAAGCTGGTATTTTAATACTTACATGTATGACGACAAGGAACGATATAGCTGGTACTAGAATACTTACATGTAGGACGACAAGGAACGATATAGCGGGTACTAGAATACTTACATGTAGGACAACAATGAGCAATATAGCTGGTACTAGAATACTTCCATTTAGGACGACAAGGAGTGATATAGCAGGTACTAGAATACTTACATATAGGACGACAAGGAATGATATAGCTGGTACTAGAATACTTCCATTTAGGACGACAAGGAGTGATATAGCAGGTACTAGAATACTTACATATAGGACGACAAGGAATGATATAGCTGGTACTAGAATACTTCCATTTAGGACGACAAGGAGTGATATAGCTGGTACTAGAATACTTCCATTTAGGACGACAAGGAGTGATATAGCTGGTACTAGAATACTTCCATTTAGGACGACAAGGAGTGATATAGCAGGTACTAGAATACTTACATGTAGGACGACAAGGAGCGTTATAGCTGGTAGTAGAATACTTACATGTAGGACGACAAAGAGCGATACAGCTGGTACTAGAATACTTACATGTAGGACGACAAGGAGCTATATAGCTGGTACTAGAATACCTACATGTAGGACGACGAGGAATGATATAGCTGGTACTAGAATACCTACATGTAGGACGACAAGGAGCGATATAGCTGGTACTAGAATACTTATATGTAGGACGACAAGGAGTGATATAGCTGTTACTAGAATACTTACATGTAGGACGACAAGGAACGATATAGCTGGTACTAGAATACTTACATGTAGGACGACAAGGAGTGATATAGCTGGTACTAGAATACTTACATGTAGGACGACAAGGAGTGATATAGCTGGTACTAGAATACTTACATGTAGGACGACAAGGAGTGATATAGCTGGTACTAGAATACTTACATGTAGGACGACAAGGAGTGATATAGCTGGTACTAGAATACTTACATGTAGGACGACAAGGAGTGATATAGCTGGTACTAGAATACTTACATGTAGGACGACAAGGAGTGATATAGCTGGTACTAGAATACTTACATGTAGGACGACAAGGAGTGATATAGCTGGTACTAGAATACTTACATGTAGGACGACAAGGAGTGATATAGCTGGTACTAGAATACTTACATGTAGGACGACAAGGAGTGATATAGCTGGTACTAGAATACTTACATGTAGGACGACAAGGAGTGATATAGCTGGTACTAGAATACTTACATGTAGGACGACAAGGAGTGATATAGCTGGTACTAGAATACTTACATGTAGGACGACAAGGAGTGATATAGCTGGTACTAGAATACTTACATGTAGGACGACAAGGAGTGATATAGCTGGTACTAGAATACTTACATGTAGGACGACAAGGAGTGATATAGCTGGTACTAGAATACTTACATGTAGGACGACAAGGAGTGATATAGCTGGTACTAGAATACTTACATGTAGGACGACAAGGAGTGATATAGCTGGTACTAGAATACTTACATGTAGGACGACAAGGAGTGATATAGCTGGTACTAGAATACTTACATGTAGGACGACAAGGAGTGATATAGCTGGTACTAGAATACTTACATGTAGGACGACAAGGAGTGATATAGCTGGTACTAGAATACTTACATGTAGGACGACAAGGAGTGATATAGCTGGTACTAGAATACTTACATGTAGGACGACAAGGAGTGATATAGCTGGTACTAGAATACTTACATGTAGGACGACAAGGAGTGATATAGCTGGTACTAGAATACTTACATGTAGGACGACAAGGAGTGATATAGCTGGTACTAGAATACTTACATGTAGGACGACAAGGAGTGATATAGCTGGTACTAGAATACTTACATGTAGGACGACAAGGAGTGATATAGCTGGTACTAGAATACTTACATGTAGGACGACAAGGAGTGATATAGCTGGTACTAGAATACTTACATGTAGGACGACAAGGAGTGATATAGCTGGTACTAGAATACTTACATGTAGGACGACAAGGAGTGATATAGCTGGTACTAGAATACTTACATGTAGGACGACAAGGAGTGATATAGCTGGTACTAGAATACTTACATGTAGGACGACAAGGAGTGATATAGCTGGTACTAGAATACTTACATGTAGGACGACAAGGAGTGATATAGCTGGTACTAGAATACTTACATGTAGGACGACAAGGAGTGATATAGCTGGTACTAGAATACTTACATGTAGGACGACAAGGAGTGATATAGCTGGTACTAGAATACTTACATGTAGGACGACAAGGAGTGATATAGCTGGTACTAGAATACTTACATGTAGGACGACAAGGAGTGATATAGCTGGTACTAGAATACTTACATGTAGGACGACAAGGAGTGATATAGCTGGTACTAGAATACTTACATGTAGGACGACAAGGAGTGATATAGCTGGTACTAGAATACTTACATGTAGGACGACAAGGAGTGATATAGCTGGTACTAGAATACTTACATGTAGGACGACAAGGAGTGATATAGCTGGTACTAGAATACTTACATGTAGGACGACAAGGAGTGATATAGCTGGTACTAGAATACTTACATGTAGGACGACAAGGAGTGATATAGCTGGTACTAGAATACTTACATGTAGGACGACAAGGAGTGATATAGCTGGTACTAGAATACTTACATGTAGGACGACAAGGAGTGATATAGCTGGTACTAGAATACTTACATGTAGGACGACAAGGAGTGATATAGCTGGTACTAGAATACTTACATGTAGGACGACAAGGAGTGATATAGCTGGTACTAGAATACTTACATGTAGGACGACAAGGAGTGATATAGCTGGTACTAGAATACTTACATGTAGGACGACAAGGAGTGATATAGCTGGTACTAGAATACTTACATGTAGGACGACAAGGAGTGATATAGCTGGTACTAGAATACTTACATGTAGGACGACAAGGAGTGATATAGCTGGTACTAGAATACTTACATGTAGGACGACAAGGAGTGATATAGCTGGTACTAGAATACTTACATGTAGGACGACAAGGAGTGATATAGCTGGTACTAGAATACTTACATGTAGGACGACAAGGAGTGATATAGCTGGTACTAGAATACTTACATGTAGGACGACAAGGAGTGATATAGCTGGTACTAGAATACTTACATGTAGGACGACAAGGAGTGATATAGCTGGTACTAGAATACTTACATGTAGGACGACAAGGGGTGATTTAGCTTGTACTAGAATACTTACATGTACATGTAGGACGACAATGAGCGATATAGCTGTTACTAGAATACCTACATTTAGGACGACAAGGAGTGATATAGCTGGTACTAGAATACTTACATGTAGGACGACAAGGGGTGATTTAGCTGGTACTAGAATACTTACATGTACATGTAGGACGACAATGAGCGATATAGCTGTTACTAGAATACCTACATGTAGGACAACAAGGATTGATATAGCTGGTACTAGAATACTTACATGTAGGACGACAAGGAGTGATATAGCTGGTACTAGAATACTTACATGTAGGACGACAAGGAGTGATATAGCTGGTAATTGAATACTTCCATGTAGGACGACAAGGAGTTATATAGCTGGTACTAGAATACTTACATGTAGGACGACAAGGAATGATACAGCTGGTACTAGAATACTTACATGTAGGACGACAACAAGGAGTGATATAGCTGTTACTAGAATACTTACATGTAGGACGACAATGAGTGATATAGCTGGGACTAGGATACTTACATGTAGGACGACAAGGAGAGATATAGCTGGTACTAGAATACTTACATGTAGGACGGCAAGGAGTTATAAAGCTGTTACTAGAATACTTACATGTAGGACGTCAATGAGTGATATAGCTGGTACTAGGATACTTACATGTAGGACGACAAGGAGAGATATAGCTGGTACTAGAATACTTACATGTAGGACGACAAGGAGAGATATAGCTAATACTAGAATACTTACATGTAGGACGACAAGGAGTGTATAGCTGTTACTAGAATACTTACATGTAGGACGACAAGGAGTTATAAAGCTGTTACTAGAATACTTACATGTAGGACGACAATGAGTGATATAGCTGGTACTAGGATACTTACATGTAGGACGACAAGGAGAGATATAGCTAATACTAGAATACTTACATGTAGGACGACAAGGAGTGTATAGCTGGTACTAGAATATTTCCATGTAGGACGACAAGGAGAGATATAGCTGTTACTAGAATACTTACATGTAGGACGACAAGGATTGATATAGCTGGTACTAGAATACTTACATGAAGGACGACAAGGAGCGATATAGCTGGTACTAGAATACTTACATGAAGGACGACAATGAGTGATTTAGCTGGTACTAGAATACTTATATATAGGACGACAAGCAGCGATATAGCTGGTACTAGAATACTTACATGTAGGACGACAAGGAACGATATAGCCGGTACTAGAATACTTACATTTAGGACGACGACAAGGAGCGATATAGCTGGTACTAGAATGCTTACATGAAGGACGACAATGAGGGATTTAGCTGGTACTAGAATACTTACATGTAGGACGACAAGGAGTGTATAGCTGGTACAAGAATACTTTCATGCACGAAGATAAGGGGCGATCTTGTTGCCTTTTCAGTTGTTTTAGAATACACTAGGACTTACTGTAACAGATGGTAGTGTCACTGCCTCCTCCAAACTGCCGTTTATGAATGACATGCTCCTCAGCTGATGTATCGATGTTTACGGGAAATCCTGTAAACAGAAAACATATATTTCATCATGCATGGAGCAATTTTGCATTTTTGTATTCAAATCAGCCGTTCTAGCTCATTTTGAGGGGCTCTTTTCTCATATTCGTCGGATAGAAGTTATTTCATGAGACTTTGCTCTGTAGATCAATCTGAAGATTTACCTGACAATATCTATGTACATCTATGTTGACCATCCGGGTTAACTAAGAAATACAAAAATAATCAAACTTGAAAGACTTGAAAGAAAAATGAAAGACTTGACGGTCACGAACACAATTTCATTCTAAGAGTCTCTGCTAATGTAGCATTTCATTTGGAGAATACGCAGCAATTTCTTCGCAATATATCAATACACAAAGGAAGTAGCATCCCGAACATCAAACAGTTGCTTGCAAAGATTTACACATTTGATCACAGGTGCAAACTTGCTACTATCATAGACGAGAGGAAAATAACACTTGTTTAACTATTCGTTATAATGGCATACTGAACCAAACAGAAGGTCATTGATATGAAAACAAACGAAAAGGGCAGGAAATCTACATATATCGAGACATACCTTGTATGGAGGTCCATGTAAGTAACACTAGAACCAGGACCACAGCGAAAACACACGTTGGCCGCATCTTCAGTAAACAGAATTTATAATATAGCAACAGTGCCAAATATTAGCTAGTAGATCGTACAACTTCTGTCGCGTGTCAAAATAGTAATAATCGTAAATGTATACACTCGTAAATGTCGAATGTCAGAAAACAAATATAGACATATGTATTGGCGCTTAGAAAATACTTTTTGTATTGTATTAAAAGCAAACGTGACAGCATTCTTGTTGTAATAAGAAATACCATCTGTTACACGACACGGATTAGAGTCAATGTCATTCAGTGTATTTTCCGAAGGTAAGCCTATTAATAGATGATTAGGACATTGTAAGGAATGAACGGCTTGACGTTCGACCAGGTCGCGCAGTTCAGATATCCATCGTTTTGTAAGAACGTTAAATTCCTCTATTTAAACACTAATTAAGCCAAACAACTTCTCCTGTCTCTAGATTTGTAACATGAGGTTCAATACAATAATAATGAAGCTCCTTGTTTTCCTCTGCGTGCTAGATTGTTTTTTTTTTCAAAATATTGTGCATACAAATCTTTACTTAATTAAAATCAGTGATGGAAAAACGTAAATGTATCAAATTTGGTATAGTATTTATTTCAGCACACCAATCTACTACAAGTATATAATCCTTGCAATTCCAGTGATTACGCTCTCCGCACCCCTGGAATATGTCATGACGACATCGTACTCCAACAGTGTTAGATTTTTATATTACACAGCGAGATACTTTTAAAAAGCGCCGCGTAACTTCTCACTGCCCATAGCTGATTTCCCGGCGCTGACGATCAAATTTTCAAAGTTCGGATTTAGAAAAAAAGGACATCGTTTTACATACATTTAGATATTAAACAGGGTCCAATACATATTACGTTCCATAAATCCATGATTAAAAGAGAAGAATTTCGTGTCAAAGACATATAAAATGAGTTTTTCCTCTTTCGAAGTGAGAAGCAGCCAACATGTTATATAAACTTTATTTCATTGCATACAAAGTACAGAGGAATGGGATCCGGAAACAAGTTGAAATAATAACATTTGTCTTGATTTTCTGGTTAATACAAAAATGAATAACATGTAATGTTCTACAAGCGGAATACAAACAAACTCCGTATCATTTCGTCCCGTTTGAAATCCCCCTGCTATTTTGTAGCAACCCAGGAAACCATGTAGTAAAAGTGCTACAACGACATGGACATGTATTTTGAGTGTTCTATTCCGTATATATTTGTGTCTGTGGCATACATATGAGATCTATATTATATGAATCGTGAGAAGACATCGTTGTCATCAATTGTTTACCACTTAATTGAGTTTTTCAAGCCGATTTTGTTCCGCCCGAAATCTGCATCAAAGAATTAAAGCTTCGGAAATAAGAGGTCGCAGTCGGCAAAATCATATCCGATAGAACAAAGGCCGACCAGCGGCCTCTTATGTTATAGGAGTAGACACAACGTTAACCTAAGCTTCTGTACGCGCCTCTTGTGACTAGTTTGATCCTTTGAAGTGCATCAAAAGAATCGCGAGGTAGAGTCACGGTTAAGTTGACTGATTTTAAAGTGAGGTGTCGCTTCTGCTATATGCAAAGGACATGTATCAGATTTGGTCAGCGATTGATGATTTTTTAAATTTATTTTTTACCTAGTAGCCGATCAAACAACTAACCGTGTGCCTTAGATTTTGTCATGACATATTCCAGGGGTGCAGTGAGCGTACTCTCTGGAACAGCAAGGACTGCGTACTGACATTTCCAGGATGCCGATAGTTCTAAGGATTCTTTTTGTTTACCAGGTTATATTTTTATCTATCTATATATTGTCATATTTTATCACAGTTTACATAACAATTTCAGCGAGTACATATATTGTGAAGCGTATACAAAAGTGATTAAATTTGACTTCTTTAGCATGGCAAAATGTAGCCGTCTGTAGATAGTTCAGAAGATCACAGCATATCAAACTAGAACTTCATTATCGTATTACAGAAAATGTAGTTACCTGCAGTATCTAGGCAGCAATGCAAATGTTGATAGATACACAAGGCACCAAATAGAACAGATTCCCAGTATTAACAGGAGTTTCTCACTCTTTCCCAGACTTCACGATTACTGTGGTTGAACACAGAATCCTTTCAAACCTTTGTCCTCCAACTAATGAAAACAGGTATTCAGGAGAAGTATAGCGGAAAATTTGTACACGCTACCAGAAAGACGACCATCCACATTTATATGTGTCGGAATAAGCGGGGGAGTTGTCTCTCTTGACTATTTCCAGCTATGTTAAAATTACATAGGAGCCTGCGTCCTCATAACTTTCGTTTCAGAAGTGCTACGAGATTTTATGCTGCTGTATTACCTTTTTTCAATCCCTTATACATCTTTTTACTTTTAATCTCTCTACTAATTATGTAGATGGTTAATTAACCTTATAACAGCATGGGGGTCAAAAAATGGAATATCAGCCGGAATTTTTGTTTTCTGAACATTCTTCTTTTTTTTTGGCATCGTTATACACGGGAAAGAACACTTTCTTTGATAAGATGCTAAAATAATATATTAATTATCCGAATGTGAAGATAATCTAACATTTTGTGAAAATTGTAATGCAAAATACAGGATTGTTCGTTCTTATTATTCTTTTATACCATTATTCCATAATATGAAGAAGTGGTGTTATTTTAAATCTGTACTCAAAAATTCATTCAAAAAAGGTGGTGGAAAGTATCTATTTCGCACAACAAAATATCCTGTGTACCCAAAAAGGTAAGGGGCTAAGACACCTTCCTGGCGTCCACAACAAAGTATCTTGTGTACCCAAAAAGGTGAGGGGCTAAGACACCTTTTTGGCGTCCACAACAAAGTATCCTGTGTACCCAAAAAGGTGAGGGGCTAAGACACCTCCCTGGCGTCCACAACAAAGTTTCCTGTGAACCCAAAAAGGTAAGGGGCTGAGACACCTTCCTGGCGTCCACAACAAAGTATTATGTGTACCCAAAAGGGTAAGGGGCTAAGACACCTTCCTTGCGTCCACAACAAAGTATTATGTTTACTCAAAAAGGTGAGGGGCTAAGACACCTCCCTGATGTCCACAACAAAGTATCCTGTGTACCCAAAAAGGTGAGGGGCTAAGAAACCTTCCTTGCGTCCACAACAAAGTTTCCTGTGAACCCAAAAAGGTAAGGGGCTAAGACACCTTCCTGGCGTCCACAAGAAAGCAATGTAACTAATTACAGGTAATTGGTAATGAAATTCGTTGCAAGCCTACAATAAACCTTTTAATGCATGTTAGGTCACTTAACATTCCAAATTCAGATTTGCTTCATCACTTGGTGTGATTGAGAAAGTTTTTGTTACCAATCAATTTTGAGATCAATATCTTTGTCACTTTTAAGAATTTGTTCTTATACATTTAATCATCAGAGTTTTGTTTTACCATTGATTTTAGGGGATATTTCGTACTCATTTCTAAATTTTCATCTCATAATGAAGAGTAAATGTATTGGTGAAGGTTGCCATCGTATCTTCGAGAAATCTCATATAAAGCCACAATATATATGGCGTTTGGATACACTGACTAAAAGTGGCATCGATTGTTCAAATGAAGTTGTTAGTATTTGTCCGAAGTGCTACATACAGTATCTGCACAAAGGAGAATATGAAACAGAACGTTTGAAAGATGAAACTTCTAGTAGTTTTCCTCTCCTTTCAATCAAGGACCTGTTTTACGGGTCATGTTCACATAAAATATGTTGTCTTTGTTTGAACTTTTAATTTGAAGGGAAACAAATCCATACTTCTGTTAAAACGTTTCGGGCATTAGTTAATTTTCACACTCAAATTGTGGTGTTCTGCGTCATCACGTGAATGCTAATTTTTTCACCTTACTGACAATGACCTGAACCTATGTACACATGTCATCCTAAAAGAGTGAGAGTCTTTGGATTCTCAATTATTAAGTAGGTCGTCTGAAATATTTGATGATCTTTAAGAAGTGTCGCATACATCTTATGAAAGAATCAATCAGCCTTCACTCTCAATTTTTATCTCTTGGATGACCCTGGCAACAATTCATTCTGTAGTACAAGCATTTAATACATCTATAGTTCCAGAGTTCGTTGGTTATGACCATTTGAGTAGGAAACATTTACACGATACTGTATTCTCAGAATTATTCTTTGGAGATAGAGTGACCGCCATACATATATACTAGATGGTACATTTATATACCAACAACAAAGGCGTGGTTTAAGTTTATACATATAATTGAATTTAAACATGTCAAACGATATTAGGTCATGTATTCCGTCTTTGCGTATTGCAGAGTTATCTTCTCTTGGGAGCAGGTATTGATTGTTACGTCACTTGTTTGTGAGAGTAGCGTCATCAGTTTTTGAGAAAACGACGTAATTTTCTCGCACAAACCAATGACGTAACAATCAATACCTGCTCCCAAGTGAAGATAACTCTGCAATACGCAAAGACGGAATACATTCATCACACTCACTGCTCTGTCATCCTATACAGTACAACTGTAACACTCCCTCTGTCAATCCAAGAAAATATGATTATCATTATATAACATTGTAATATATCAACACATACAAATATTTAACATTTGGCCTTAAATGGGGGCTGGCATAATTTAAGCTAACGGTAATTCAGCTCACTGGGAATGACATGATATTATATGATATTATGCAATATCTATATACTGTTGCTTTCATGTCCCAGTGGCTGAATTACTAGGAGTATGCATGGGGATTATAGACCGAGTATGTAAAACTGTAGTGTATTCGAGCCGTGAGTCTCGAGAGGTGAGTCACCCAAGAGCCGTGAGTCTCAAGGGAAAACCCATGTGCCACACTCGGTCCGATGAACCCCAACTCCACTTAGATACAACCAGACTGCCAGGTCCGACAGCTGTACAGACCAGCCCAAGAGCCGTGAGTCTCAAGGGTTTCTTCGCCGTGAGTCGTTTAAACAGCCTGATTGTATACTACAAATGTATACTTTTTGAATAGTAAGTAATATAATACTTGGGGCCAAAGAACGTAACAATAGCCCGTAAAGCCGAAAGGGTTATTGAGTAGTGGATAGCCCTTTAAGACATGTTAGCTAATATAATGCCAGCTCCTAATATTATGCTTGATGTACATGTACG